CAGTAGAGTGCCTGCTTTGCAAACGCAAAGCCCTGAGTTCAAACCCCAGTATCACTACCACCAAGCAAAAATTAGGGTGTGGAAATTAAAAAAAAAAAACAACTAGGGTGTACAGTGTGTTTTCTTCTTTCGGCCTTGGATTATGTGCTTTCCTCTTAACAAACGGGTGGCTGACCTAAGTGAGCTCTTCTAGACTGCAAGAAGCTCCTGGCAAAGAAATGTAAGGACCTTGTCAAGATCATCAAGAGAAATGTAGAGATGGGTACTCTACATTTGGCATCCATACTTACTGAAGGTTCAACCTTCACTAATTATTAGGTAAATACGTTTTTGTTTTTTTCTGTAGGCCCAAGGAAAATAATCTTTTCCTTTGGTTGCTTATTTCTTCATCACAGTTTTTGCCCTTAGTGTTTAGACACCTGGCACATCAACCACCAGGCCTTTCCCCATATCCCCACTTGCCCACCCATCACGTCCCCAGTCCCTCTCTGATCAAGTTCAGTCTGAGACCAAATCCCTGGCCTGACTCCCTCAATGCTTTCTTTGGGCTGGGCCTCATGCATCCCTTTCCAGATACCTCACCTTGAGAAGGGCAGCCTGACTGGGTGCACAGGCCCTAGGGTCTGGTCTTATCTCTTTCCCTGTGTGGGACACTTTCCTCCTTTGGTAGGAAGAGCAGTCGGATTAGATGGCTCAGAGCTCTATTCCTAATGAAGGTCTTTAACCTCTCCTAGAGGCTTTAACACTGGTCCTTGCTTTCATTTTCTCCCCACTTGAGGTAATCAACATCAACACAATCAATATATAATCAATACATAATATAATCAACACATAATATGTGATATAATATAGTATGTAATATAATTAATGAGGATTATAAGTATTTTGTGATTTTGAGCTACAATTTTACCCATTTTCTTCTGGAGCCTGTTTTTCTTTCCTCAGTCTTTAAAATAAACACCCCTCCCTTGACATCTCCTCTTGAAACTTTGACCTCTAAGGTAGACCTAATGGTTAGCCTTTTCCCTTTGAATACCCCCTGGAGAACCGGGATTCTGCCCTCCCAAGTCAGCAGGAGCCAGGCTCTCTGCTTTATCTTTCTAAGGAAGGTCTTTGCAAATCAAAAGTTGGATCTTCATTCTGGAAAAGGGCTGAGAAATATGGCTCTCTTACTTGCAGAAGAGGGAGGAAGAGGACACCTTTCACTGCATATGAATGGCAGTCATTCCGCAAAACTGTCATGGTGGTAAGACTGTTGACAGGCATCCTGGAATCCCAGAGAATAAGTGGTTATAGAAGAGTTTGACTTTATGAGGTAGCAAGTCTGAATTAAAATCTACCTCCCTGGTTTAATTTTAGGTTGGGGTGTTTACCCTCTCTAAGACAGTTTCCTCATCAGAAAGAGGAGAATAGTTGTAGCTTTTAAACTTTTTTAGGGAGTGTTTTGGTGCTGGTGATTGAACCCAGGGTCTTACACAAGCTAAGCACATGCTCTGTCTCTGAGTCCCCAATAACTGTAACTCTTCAATTGAAGATTGAAGGAGGCAATACCTATTCAACACCTGGCACTTAGTAGGTGCTCAATTACTCCCTCTCCACTCTAGTAACCTTTCTCTTTATGGTCACCAGACTGCAAGCAATTGTTGAGTAGCTTGGTGGTAGAAGATAGGATAGGGGATTCTGAGAGAGGTTTCAGGGTCGTCTTCTTCCTCTTCCTTTTCCTCTTCCTCTTCCTCCTCTTCCTTCTTCCTTCTTCTTCACAGTACTGGGGTTTGAGCTCAGGGCCTATACTTTGAGCCATTCCACTGTCCTTTTTTGTGATGGGTTTTTTTTTTTTTTTTTTTGAGATAGGATCTCTTGAACTATTTGCCCGGGCTGGCTTCAAATTGTGATTGTCCTGATTCTGCCTCCTGAGTAGCTAGGATTATAGGCATGAGCCACCAGCACCCGGCTATCAGGGTTTTGTTTTTTTTTTAAGAATCCCTAATTCTGCCCACATCAAAAATCAGATGAGATGAAGGAGGAAGAGGAGAGGAAGGCTAGGGAACAAAAGCGTTATTGGTGCCTGGCAAGCATAAGCATATGTTCTTCTCTAATCTAGCCTGAAAACACAGGAGTCCATTCTCCCAGTAAGGTGATTATAGTGCCTGGATTTACTGAAATGTGGAATAGGTGTGTGGACAGGTTTCCCTCATTGAGTTTGATCCCCTGCAAACTTTTCAAGATCCACCAGGAAACTGTAGTCAATCTGCCTGTCTTGGGCCCTGAACCTATCGAACATGGGAGTTTTATTGTTCTGTCACCTTTAATGATAGCCAGCTTGTTAAGGATGAACCAAAAGGGAAGGGGCGGAGGGCTGTAACTAGTGAATCTGAATGCTGCTGGAATGAATCCCTGACAGGAAGGTGATGGATGTAGAGAAATCTAAATTCCTTTAGTTTCTGGCCTGTGTGAGAAGGTTGGCTGGAGTGATTGATTGCGATAAAGGTAAGATGGATGAGGATGGGAGAAGCTTAGAAGGAAAAGAGAGTAGGAGACTATATGAGCTTTAGGGGGAGCTAGGCAAACTTTTCATGGAAATCCTATTTCTCTGGGTTTTCTCAATGAAAATCTGTGATAGAACCCCACAATAATCACAAGGCTTATTCTGCCGGAGTGATCATTGGAACAAGGCAGCAGGAATAGTTTTGTTTCTGAAAACTCCCCTTGAGATTATTTTGGGTAATTAGCGCAGTCCTGAGAAAAGTGTCAAGGCATCAGGTGCCTGGGTCCTTTACATTGCACTTCGCAGGGAGGATTTAAATTTATTTTGTTCATTTGCTTAGCACAGTGTAACAACTCAGTGTTCAGGATGGGTACTTTGGCATCCCTATTTATTGAGGATTAAATAAAGGCCATATAATTTTTTGGCCCTTGTTTGTATTTTTTCTGTAAACCTCAGGGAAATAATCTTTTCTTTTGGCTGCCTATTAAAAAATTTTACCTCTTGATAGCATCTCTTCCATTCCCCCTTCCATTGCCACTATGCACTCACATACCATACACACTCTTTGTCATTACTGTAGTAATTTGTTTTTTAATCCCTTTCTTTGACATGGGCTGCAGTTTTATGAATTCTAATTTTCTGTGGTTTCTGACATATGTGATAGTTGTAAATGAACTGGAAGTAATAGAGAACAAAGTGGTCTTTTTTTTTTTTTGGTGGTGGTAGTGGGGTTTGAACTTAGGGCTTCACACTTGCTAGGCAGGCACTCTATTACTTGAGTCCTTCTACCAGCCCCTTTTTGTGTTGAGTATTTTTGAGCTAGGATCTTCTTTTTTTGCACAGACTGGCCTGAGATCCTCCTGATGTCTGTCTCCCCAGTAGTTAGGATTATAGGCATAAGCCACCAGTGCCTGGCTACTTTGGACTTTCTAAGGCACCTGTTTATGGTTTCTCTTGAGATACCAACTTCCTTAAGGAACAGTTCATCTTCCTTATCACACACACACAAAAATTAAATTGACTGGTTATTTCCTATAGGCATTTAAGAAATGACTCTTATTCTTTGTGGGGACAAAAATGTTTATTGTAGGCAAGTATAAAATAATAAAATAGAAAAAGAGAACAATGAGCTGGACACCCAGTGACTCACACCTGCAATCCTAGCTACTTGAGAGGATTGTGATTCAAAGCCAGCCTGGCTTTCCTATCTGGAAAAAAACCCCATCACAAAAAGGGCTGGTGGAGGCCCTGAGTTTGAGCCCCAGTATGCACCCCCCCCAAAAAAAAGAAAAGAAAAAAAGAAAACAATGTTGATATTACATGATGGTAAATATGTTCATGTTTTTAAAAACAAACTTGGATTCATCCTGAACATGTTATTTTGTAATCATCTTTGTTCACTTAATAGCACATGTGTTTTTCATGTTACTAAAGATTTCTCAAGAATATTATTTAATGGTCAATATTTTAAGGTAGGCTCAAGATTTAATGTAGTTTGTCCTATTCAAACATTTCAATCATTTTCCAACTTAAGACAGTAAGCTAGAAGTATTTCTCCTCTTGGTGATTAGTCATTTTACTTGTTTATTAAATCTCCCTGAAGGGTGCCAGGCCTATTAAATCGGAGAGATTCCCAAAGCTGAGCTATTCAGATTTAGGAAGCAGTGACTTAGCCCCTGGGACTCTTTATGGGAAACAACTGCTTCTCCAAAGATTACCAATGGAAGATGTAGAAGTGTAAATGAGGAAAGTAGAATCCACATCTCTCTGAGTTTCTTGGCCTAGGGCTCAGGTCTTGGTGTATAAACATCCTAGGAAGTCCAAGTTATGAGGGCAAACACACTTTGAATATGGGCCAAGTTCAAAGGGTTTCTATATTCCCCAAATTGCCCAGGTTGCACTAAAATAACACCTTCTAAATCTCTGTGAGTCTGTATTGTTTTCCTGTAGTCAGTGCCTATACCTCAACGGGATGTTTCTAGTTTTTCCTCTGTGGAAACTAGAAAGTAGCCTGATGGATAATTGGGACACAGAAACAGCGTTTCCCATTCCCTTCCCTTCCTTTTCATTTCTTTCATGTATGTGTCTGTGTGTTTATTAGCCCATTCTCTTTCTGATTCTAAGGTTTCAGAAGGCATAATAATAGGTCTCAGCTGGATATATCCTAGAAGCATTTATTGCAAAATGAAGTTGAGTTCCCAATCTAGGAAAATAACAAAACAGAGATGTTTTATAGTTCTCTGGAGAAAACCCCTTAGAAGACCCTGTCTGGCAAATCGTCCACTTACTGTGACCATTCCCTTTCCTTGGCTCCAGAGATGGTTTATGAGCTAGAAAATTCCTCCAGTTATGTCGAGTGCTAGTTTCCCTAGGTATCCCTAGGCTTGGATGGAGAGAACTTTTCAAAAGTGCATACTCAGGTGAAAAGCTGAACACTCCATAAACCTCCCAATAGGAGATAAGTGGTCTCTGCCTCAGGTATCTGCATGCAGTTCATAACAGGGAAAGGTTGCCCCTTCAGGGGTCTGAACAGAACTTTTTCATTTTGTGATTCACTTCCCTCTGATTCGCAGAAGCACAGCTGGGCTGGACATGGTCTGAAACTTAAAGGAACAAATACTTTGAGGTTCCTTTGGATGTGGGCCCCAAAACAAACTCTCCTCTTAGCAAGCTGTGTTAAGTATAGGCACAAAGGCCAGGAAGTAACTTGCAGAAAAGATTGGGCCCACAAAGTTAGGAGACTCAGGTTCTAATTTCAGCTCTGCCAAAAATATGCTGTATAGTCTGAGCCCTCCATTTCCCCATGTATAGGAGATATCATAAAAACCACAATTTAACCCTGTGATTTGAGTCTACTCCTTCCAATTGAGGAGCTGTGTCCCTCTCTTCTCTTTTATGCAGTTGTGCACGTGAGTTTGTGGGTGGTATCACCAGGCACTGCCCTTGCCCGGGAACTGGGTTCTGCCTGGGTTGCGCACACAGTAGTATTTGTTCACCACATGCCTACACTGGTCACACCTGACCGTACAGCACCACTGGAATTTGCAGTTACAGCTGCTCATGGCCTCAGTTCGCCTTTCTTCCACCTGCAGCCCACACTCAGTGCACAAGCGCCCACAGCTGCGTTGCTCCCACCTGGATGTGTTGTGGTTGTTCTGCAGACACTCACGACCCTCTGTGCCATAGATGCCCAGGCTGGCATTGTGGGTACAGTAGTCTGGAGATTCCTCTAAAAAGATCAGCTCGGCCTCTGCACTAGGAAGGAAGGCCTCAGTGGGAGCCCAGTGGCCCTCTGCGCTGTTTCCAGCCCTTAGCCTTCGCTTATCCATCTCAATTTTCAGAGCGTGGTCATACTTGGCCTTCAGGTAGTCTCCCATCTCCCTGAAGTCAGCCAGCTGCAGCCAGCATGTCTGGATGCTGCAACTCCCAGAGATGCCGTGACATTTGCAAGTCCTTTTCATGGTGGTTCTCACTGCCTTTAGAGAGAGAGAGAGAGAGAACCCAAATGAAAAAAAAAATAATAATGGCTCTTGGTAGGAAAGGCCAATGGCTGGCAATTACATGGAATATTTTAGAGCTGTTCCTCTTGGATTTGGAGAAGCATCAGAATTATTGAGGAAGCTCATAAAAATATTTGTTCCTGAGCCCTACCTCAGAATGTTCAGGGGTTAAGGGGCTGATAGTGATGACTTTAAATCACTCTGGATGATTCTGATACAGAGCCAGCAAATGTTGAAGTTATTGGGGTCAGGAAACCTAGGCTCCGGGCCCAATCCCATTACTTGTTGATCACAGTTCTCTATCTGCTCAGTTGGAACAAGATTTGAATAAAGTAGGGGCTGGCTGTGTAGGTTATTTGGTAGAGCACTTGCCTAGCATACATGAGGCACTGAATAGAATGATCAAGGAAGTAATTTGAAAGTTATAAAGGAAAATATATATGATCAGTGACACTGTTACTGTCTTAGAGTATTTGTGGTGGTTTGGATTTATCCTTCTCTCAGAGGGAAGAGGGAAGGAAATTCCTAGAGTCTAAAATCATAACTCCAAGGCAATTAATTAGCTATGGTTATATGTCCCTTGAAAATTTCTTCCCCTTCACCTAGGCAACTATGATATCTAGGTACAGGTTCACAGGGAAATGTCTCTGATCTTTTACTCTTACTTGCTTCTAGATTTGAGTTCAAATACTAGTCCACCAGCAGTCTTGGGAAGAATATATCTTAGAGAAGCCTATATCTGTCCCAATTCCTCACAGCACAGGCAGACTTTAAGACACAAGGCTGGACAATAAGTCCCTGTTAATGTTCTAGAACATGCAGCTAAAATGATAAAAATTTTCATTCAAGGCCTTGATTCTATATTGTTCTGTGTTCTCAGAAAATGGCCTGTGGAGAAGGCCAGAGTATTAGGCTTAAAGTGATAAGAGGACTGGACTAGAAGATCTAAGTTCATTGTCTGGCTCTGAGGCTCATTAGCTCTATTGCCTTGGACAAGCCACTTGGCCCACACTTAACTGGCTTTGTCATCCCAGACAATGGGGATGGCTGTCTCAGTCTTGCTGGATGGTTGTAAGGATGAAACATGGGTATGAGACAGCTCTTGGTAAGCTGTGAAGGGCTGTGCAAATGCAAAGCTGTTGCCAATACTGGCCGACTCCTATACCCACCAGCCTGCCGGCCCTGTTGTTGTGTAGATTCATCAGGGCTCTGGCATCCTTTCCCTTCTCCAAACTGTCCACAAAGAGTTTGGAGATCCTTTCCCCAAATTCCACATTGTCGCTGCAGCCTCCCCAGATCCAGCCATGGCCTCCTACACATAAGGAAAGAATAAGTTCTGCATATAGCTTCCTACTAAGTCCCAGAAGAGTCACCATCTTTTTTGGCTGACACAGTCAAACCATCCCTAAGAGCCCTAGGAGGGTATAAAGCTATAATTGAAAGTGAGACAAGGAAACAGAGGTGCTAGGGGTGTGTGTGTGGAGGCCTGTTCCCAAAGCCCACTTCAGGCATTTCTGGGCTATAAGCCTTCACAACTGTCTCGTGATGATTTCAAATGTTCATTGCAGCTCAGACATTCTGGAACTCTGCAGCATTATTCTACAATGGTCTTATTAGAGCTACTTCTTCCCTCCTTAGTGACAAATCTGAGTAAGTTTCTTAGGTGGCCTGCAAATAGTTGAGTTGCTCTGGGTTATGGACAAGCCATTTCAATACCAAGGCTAGCTTTTAAACTTTCTTTGGACTTTTCATTCCCAGTGTCCCTATTGGATTTAGAGCTACTAATCCCTGGACTCATGGACCTAATCGTAACTCTCAGGAGAGTCTAGATCCAGAAACTCCCACAAGTGAAAGGGCTGCCAGGGTCCAGGGGTTTGAGGGAGCTGTGTCCCTTTTCCTTTTGCTAGAATACTTTAGCCTGCACTCAGCTCTGCAGCCTCTCTCCTTTTCCCACCCCCATCAGAAAGTCCAGCTTACCTGTTTTTCCATTTTTTGACTCATCACAGCCACAGTTTTCAAAGTCGCCCATGCTACAGTTCTTGGTGATGGTGTACATGACTCCGGCAGAGCTGATAGCATGAATGAAGGAAGTCTCTCTGGTGGCTTTGGAGAGAAAGGGGGGACTGGCTAGAAACTTGGACCCTGATGACCCAAAGCAGAGGCCTTGAAAAAAACAGTGCTACCCTCATCTCCATCTCCTTTGACTGTAAGAGGATGTTTTTTTCCTTTGGGAGAACAGTGCATGTCTCTCCAGCCTTCTCAATTCATCCAGGCAGAAATGGGCATTCCCATGCAGCAGATGAAGGTGAAACCAGAGATAGACCAAGGCCACTCTCCAGTTGTGGTCTTAGGATCAGGACACTGCTCTTCTGAAGTCCAGCCTAGATCTCTGTCCACTAACCACAGCTGCTGATCACAGATAGTGAAAGTCAGGGCTTAGGAAAGAAGAAGGACCTTTTCTTCTCTCTGATCACAAAGCTGGTGCCATGTGATAATTATAAGGATTGTGGCTGCTACTATAGAGCTCTTATCTTTCTAAACTTCTTACAAACATCACATTTCATTTTCACATATCCCAATTTTGTCTGTATGTCCCCATCTTCTTAAATCCCTTTCCCCCAACTCTTCTCAGGCAATTATTGTTTCTACAAAAATGACTTTTATGCAAACTACTACACAGTTATAAATGCACATGTCACACACATATCTTCATACACATATACACATATATCAGACCACTTGAGACAAACTCAGTCTGTTCTCTCATCTTCACTGTTGCCTATATTTTATGATAACTGAGAAAATGTAAAACTTATTCAGGGGCTGCAAACATAGAGCCCTTTCCCCATTTTTATTTCATGAAAATTAGATCAAGTTAAGTATATACAAACACACAAATACAGGCATGCATGAAAAACTAGAATAATTTCTTACATTTGTAATGAGATATCTCTGTCCGTCTCATTCAACTCAGCACCTGGTGAACTGATCAAACTGACCCCAAAGACAAAAGAGGGATTGAAAGAGAAGTAACTCATTCAAGGTCACACAGTGAGGAAACCACAGGTTATCAGATTATTGGCCATTTTTCCATTTCACTGTACACACATGTGAACACACACATACATTCCATGAATACGTTTGCTGCAAGCTCACTGCCATGATGTATGCTCCCTGCACAGGTGTGCTCCCACGTGGACTTACCACCCCTTAGCCTGTTGTGAGTGGAGAGCTGCAGAGCATTTTCAGGGCAGTTCCATCGCTCCCATGCAAACTGGAACTTACATTCTTCAATGCCACTCTGGGCACCCAAGGCCACACTGGTAGTGTAGGTTAGATAGGCCTGACAAGGGGAAAAGGGCTGTGAGCTTCCTCCTGGCACAGGTAATCCTAGGTGGAGGAGCAGGCAGGACTCAGATGGGCTAGCTGTCCGTTAAGAAACAATCTCGGGTTTCTGGGTGAGGGGTCTGGCACTATCTCCCCCTCTCCTCTCTTCTTTCACCAGAATAGTCCCCTTAGAATCCCTGAAGAGTAAAAACAGGAGCTGAGACCATCCTACCTTGGGACCTGTTATCAGGAAATTGTTCACTGACCTACCAAAAGGAAAAAAAGGAAGGTAGAGATGAATGGGAATAAGATATGGTGGCTTTGTTGGTGGAGATGAGGGCTGAAGGAAAGGACTTACCAGGCAGAGGCACTGAAGGTGGCAGAGTACATGCCCACAGCCACCCACAGCATAAATAGGTCACCCATGGCCCTGCCCATCCCAGGGGACCAGGTCCAGCTCAGGCCTAAGTGCAGAAAAGTGAGGAGAGGGCAGTCTTCCTCAGTATTTATGTGGGCAAATTCTGAATGACCAAGGGAGAAAAATCAACAGTCCTTCTCATTTGTCCCTCACTGGCAGGGCTGCAGGAACCAATGGGGGTATCAAGGAGGAGGGATCAGCCCAAAGCCTTCAAGGGAGCCCCGCCCCAGCCAGCCCTTCTTCCCTCCCAGACTGATGGAGGGGCTGAAGCCTTTCTCCCACCTTGAGGGTCACTGACAGTTTGTCTATTCCTGCTTGAAGGGGCCCATTTCTCAGAATCATGTACCCTGGACATAGGACACATCACTCTTTGCCCTGCCTTCCTTCCCAATGTGTTAACAATCATGGAACTCTTTTTGAGACTTCCTCCTACTCATTTACCCAAACAAGTGAGTACATTATCCCTGCCTCTTCTCGTGATCACTATAAGGTGATGCAATTGTAGGACCATGGAAGAGAAACAATTCAGGGCCATCTCTGCAACAGTCCCTTCTACTATGTTCTACCAAAGTAAGTTTTGGTAAATTTCCTTCAGTCCTATTAGGTCTGTCTCTCCCTTTTGTATCTGAGGGTTGGATCTCCAGTTTATTAATTGCTTATATACCTGACCATCAATCTTTGAGCACCCCAGGGCTATATTTGAAAAGACTGGTACCTTTCTGACACCAATACCACTTTTGGAAAGAGAGATGTTGGGGATTGAACCCAGGGCCTTGTGCATGATACATACATGTTACACCATGAAGTGACACCCCCAGCTCCCTTATAATGCTACTTTATAGCTAGAGTTTTGGCTACTTAGGCAGGAATCTGTTCTTTAGATTCACTTTGTGTTCCTAGTACTTTAGAAGGTGCCTGGATTAGGACTGAGGGCATGGCTCAAGTGGAAGAGCACCTGCCTAGCAAGAAGCTTTGAGTTCAAACCCCATTATCAGGGGAGGGGGGGAAGATGCCTGTATGAAGGAAGGAAGGAAGGAAGGGAGGGAGGGACAGAGGGAGGGAAGGAAAGGAACGACGGAAGGAAGGAAGGAAGGAAGGAAGGAAGGAAGATGTAGCATCTAATAGGGGCTCAAGGCATCAATAGATAGTGTAGGGACTGTATAAAGGGATAGAGGTATTTCTTGGTTGATGAAGCTCCTTCTAGGATTGGGGAAGGAAGAATAGTTCAGGGTAAAGCACAAATGAGCATCATCCTGTGACTATCACAGCATCAAAATTACTTCCCAGCATCCTGAACTTTGTTTGGATAGGAAGGGGATCCTAGTGATTCCCCCACCAAAGGAGTTCGGAGGGCAAGGAGTCTCCAGTCCTCTTTAGAACTGTGCACTTAGAGTATAGGCCACGACTTATGCCAGTCTGCAGATTGATTATTGTCCTTCTGCAACAAGACAAGTACAGAAATGTAGTTTAGAAATGTGGATAGCTATTTGCTGGAGTAATTTAAAATATATGAAACCTAATAAGAAATTTAGGCTCTTATTTTGTTTTTGTTTTTTGAGACAGAGTCTCAAAAGCTAGCCTAAGCTAGCTTCAAACTTGCAATCCTGCCTCAGCCTCCCAAAGTGCTGGGATTACAGGTATGTACCATAGGCTCATATTTTGTAGGCTTTTTTTCTGTTTCCTTTTTCTAGAAGTCCTCACTGGACTTCCAGCCTCATCTTGTTCATCAGGTTCTCTTCTTGGAGAAGAGGCATCCCAGACTTGAGTCTGTGTCCTACTTTTCCTAATTAAGAATTTGTTTTTTTCCCTGACTTCAAAATCTAGTACTATGGAGAGGGGGGTGAGGAGAGAAAGAGAGAGAGAGAGGAGAGAGAGAGAGAATCTAATCTGTAACTTTCACTTCTTAAGGGTTGATTTCTGTGCCACTCACTGGGGTCACTAACAGAGTTAGTGACAGCCAAAAGTAGGCACCTCCATTCTCCCTTGAAAAAAATTTAGGTCATAACACTTCCTGTGTCTGAGGGATTAGGTCTTATTATTCTGTGTCCTCCATAGCACCTGATATTTAGTTGGTACTCTATAAAAATATTCTTCTATTTTCTAGAAAGCAGAGATGAAATAAGTGAGTTTTTCTTTTCTTTTCTTTCAGTACTGGGTTTGAACTTAGGGCCTTGTACTTGCTAGGCAGGCACTCTGCCATTTGAAACACCCAGCCCCAAGAAGTGAACTTGTGTGTGTGTGTGCTCAAACTGTGCTTGCTCATGCTTGGATTCTCAAAAGATCATCTCCTTCCTCCCTCCCTCCCTCCCTCCTCCCTCCGTGCCTCCTTCCTTCCCTTCCTTCCTTCCTTCCCTCCTTCCTCCATCCCTCCTTCCTTCCTTCCTTCCCTCCTTCCTTTCTTCCTTTCTTTTTGTGGTATTGGGCTCAGGACCTCAAGCTTGCTAAGCAGACATTCTACCACTTGAGCCACTGCACCAGCCCTTTATGTGTGTGTATGTGATGGGTTTTTTTTGAGATAGGGTCTCGTAAACTATTTGCCAAGTCTGGCTTTGAACCACCATCCTCCTGATCTCTGCCTCCTGAGCAGCTAAGATTACACATGTGAGACACTGGCACCAGGCCATATAGTTTCTTAAATGGAATTAAGGATGTTAAGAGCCCTCTTCACTAATTTATTGTGTGGCCTAGGGCAAGCTACTGACAACCACATGGACTCAAGTTTCTTCATCTGTAAAATGAAGGAGTGGAGAAAATGTTGGATGACTTCTAAAGTCTCCCAGGGTTGGGGACATGGTTCAAGTGGCAGAGCACCTTCCTAGCAAGCAGAAGCAGAAGGCCCTGACTTCAAACTCTAGTACCAAAAAAAAAAAAAAAAGACTTTCTTAGCTCTCTTACCTACTGCAATCTTGTTTTAAGATTTACGATTTATCACTGCCAGAGGTGACAATGTCTTCCGCAGCTGTCACCCTAAATCATCTTGTTCATTTTTTTTTTTTCTGGTCTTTTCTTTTTTGGTGCTGGGATTGAACCCAGGGCCTTGTGCATGCTAGGCAAGTGCTCTACCAGTGAGCTACATGCCACCCCATCTTATTCACTTTTGAATTCTGTTGTCCATCAGATGGGTCTTCAAAATGCATGCCAAGGCTTCTTTTAGAATTGAAGTCTGTCTATGTAAGATCTTTTTTGCTGGACTGACCAACGTCCTTAATTACAGACAGAGGGTCCTGGAAGGAGGAAAGAGCCAGAGATAGAGATTCCACACCCAGTCTACAAACCATTTCCAGCCAACCTGTTCATCAGTTTCCTTACCCAGTTCTATTACTTCATTCATGTTTACAATTTTTCTTGTTGTTCTTTTCTTCTTTGTCTTTGGTGTTGGGGATTGAACCCAGTGCCTTGTGCATGTTCTACCAGTGAGCTACCAATAGCCCTGGCTCACTGGTTTTTAAGCAGTGATCCAACTATTGGTTTCTGTCTTCCATGAATGGAAATTTGGAGGTGAAAACCAGAGCAGAAGATGGCATTGGGTGTAGAATATCTTGGTGACAAGGCAGAGCAAATAGTAATGTCTCTGAATTAGTGGTGTACTGGTAAGTGTTTAACAACCAGTTTTGCTATGACAGGAGCCAGATTGGTTGAGTTTACAACAATCAATGGCTGATTTTCAAACTGCCAATGTGGATTTGGGAAGAAATTTACAGTAGCATGTATTTCTCTCATGCAGCTACAATGAACACAAATAACCTCAAGAGTTTAAATAATAGAAAAATGTAGCCGGGTATCAGTAGCTCATGCCTATAATCCTAGCTACTCAGGAGGCAATGATCTGGAGGATCACGATTTGAAGCCAGCCCAAGCAAAATAGTTCTCGAGACTCTATCTTAAAAAAAAAAAATCACCACAAAAAATGGCTGGTGGAATGGCTCAAGGTGTAGGCTCTGAGTTCAAATCCCAGCCACACAAAAAAAAAGTAGCAAAAATTCTTCAGAAGTGATGAATTTTGAGTATTATCTTTTTTAATACAACTTAATTATAAATTTGTATTGTTTAATTTTTAATAATGACTGTATTTAACAACCAGTTTGCAAAATTTCTGAAAATATAACAGTTATCAGGAGCTATACAAGCAGCCTCCAGTACAGGTTTGGGACCCAAGGTCCTCCTTCTAGCCCACCAGGAGATAAAGTGCAAAAGATTCTCCCTGTGGAATTTAACACCAAATAATTGTTTGTTCTAGATATGGACAAGACTTTAACCCTTGCTGAACCACAGTCCTAGTTACCTGTCTTCAAAGAGTTTAGTGTCTAATAAATAGGAGATAAGGTGTGTGTCCTATAACGTAGGACAGAAAGTGTAAGTGGAATCCAGTGAGTAAGTCCATGTACCTCTGTGAAGGTATTCACAGGGCTTGGAAAGGAGGTGGGGCTAGGTAATCCCAGAGGTCCCTTCCACCTTTTTTTTTTTGTGTGTGTGGTACAGGTGTTTGAACTCAGGGCTTCACAACTGCGAGGCAGTTGTTCCAGGATGATGAGATTCCAGGATCCTAAGGAATTATGGGCTGTAATCAATGTAGAATAGAGCAGAGTGACCCTTGCCATTCCAGCTTCATGAAACCTAGAGGCCATTCATGGAACCACAGTGAGTCTGAGACAGTCCAATTTTACAAGGAAGCAACTGAGATCCAGAGAGAGAGGGGACTTATTCAGGGTCACACAGTGAGTTGAGACCAAGACAGTTGTGGTCATAATCCCACCATCATGGTTTGCCAGGAATTGAGAGGTTTCCTGTGGTCACATGGGACTTTCAGTGCTGAACCAGGACAATTGCTTGTACTTTTTTTTTTCTGTGGTACTGGGACTTGAACTCAGGGCCTTTACCTTGAGCCACTCCACCAGCCCTATTTTTGTGAAGGGCTTTTTGAGATAGGGTCTCATGGAACTATTTGTCCAGTCTGGCTTCCAACCACAATCCTCCTGATCTCTGCCTCCTGAGTAGCTAGGATTACAGGCATGATCCACCAGCACCCAGCCCA